TAAAGTTATTTATACGAAAAACCTAATAAATTATTATTTAATCGATTCAACATTTTGAGTTCGACACAAAAACATAATAATGTTGTTTTTGTTTTGTTTTGTTTTTACTACAAAACGTCCAGTTTAACACAAACTTGAATTTTCGTTAAACATGTAATTGATTTTTAATTATTCTTGCGTTTATTCATAATATTTATTATAACATTATGCATAAGTAATGCAGTTAATCTGAAGTTGCGCATCCTCTAAAATTTTAGAATTGTACATAAATAAGAAATAAACAATTTACGTTAAAACAGAAATAAACAACGCGTCTTAGAGCACCTATCAGCGCTTAAGTCACAAGAGCGACAAAAATGTCAGTCTAGGACAACTCACTGTGAAATAGCAAATGCCGAACAATTATCAGGATCGTGCTTTCACCAGCCATCTTAAAGATATGCCATGCTCAAACTTAATATTACAAAATATTGATTAATGCTACACAGTCTCTTTTGTGAATATAAAATAAACATGTTTTGACTTCACACGAAGTAGATAAGTAATGTTCAAATCTCTGCACACTACAGATCGTCACAATATGAATATATAGTTTCATTAAAAATCTCTTAGTATTTTACACAAACACACAAACTTTACATGAACTGAATACGGAATGCAGCTTTCCATACATAGTTTATTCATTCTTTTATTAAACTGAGACATATTCAGTAAGAATTATATAGATTTCAATTAATTTTTGTGAATTAAATATTTTACCTAAGGATGAGCAAAGTATATCTTTAATATACCTGGAGTAAGACAATATATGTATAACACCGAGACGATAAATAAGTCAATTTTTTCCCAGGCAATGTAAATTTGGATTTCATTTGCAAAAGTTATACTAGGATGACAACCTATTTTTGTTTTGTTTTTGTTTTATTTGAAATTTTAATTTTTTATATAACAAATTCTAATATTTGAGTGTAAATAACGAAATATCATCAAATTAAACACTTACAATCACGTTGAAACAACTATCGTGTAATCAGTTAAATTTCTTATTAAAGTGTGATTATAATATTGCTTTTGTCCGAGGACATTAAAACACTGTAAAGTTCTTTTTTATATCACGTGTTAGAGTTGCATGAAAACATGCTTCTTTTTCCAAACTTCTTTTATTTTTATATTCAAATCCTTTGACTCGTCTGTAAAGAAGTCATAAGTGTAGTATATCTCTGTTTCCGTCTGTTCGGGCTCTAAATCTCTTATCAGATACAGAATCCAACACGCAATGAAGCCATTTCTATATACACCGATCGTCTTTAGAAGTGTCCAAACTGTTATTTATTCCATATCAGTAGGGTCGACTTTCACATGAATATGCCCTCGTCCGTCGACCATATACGATCCATAACCCGTTTGCATGGCCGTTATGTCATTATAGATTTTGCTGTTCTTGCATTATAATTGGTCTATGAAATATAAGGTGTATTTATTTTGTTTGCTGTTGTTTATTTATTTTCCAGAAAATGTAAAGTCGTTCGTAGCTAAATCATATAAAGCTATATACCAAATTGCAGCTAAATGACATCACTAGACGTTGACAATAGACATGTTTGTGCCAACTTAAATCGTGTTTGAACAAAGAACCGACATTTCGGATGAAATATTTTGGCTAGGTCGGACAAAACCGTGCAACGCGACTCAACCCGATTTTCTACGTATCAAAACGTATTTCCAAATCATGCCTGTGTAACAACCAGCAATAAATCGATAAAACACATTCAAACAAACAACTTAAAATAAGGCGAATTTTAAAAAAATCGAGAGGTCTAAATAATTAAGATTTAATTGTTCTAATTTAAATCATTCTGAATTAACTCTTCCACGATATAATCTTATTTGTGTTTTAAAATGTATTATAATTGAATAATTCACAACGACATCTTCTCTCGGCTGTTAAAATAAACATATTAAGACAGGAACACAAGGAATACAAAAATAGCCACACATTCTTCGGGAAAGTTTAAATGGTTTCTAGGTGTTTTTGGTCCTCTTGTGTGAGTTGCACATATGTGTGAGTTGCACATATTCATTATTTTTATAATATTGAAGAGGCAATGTTTAAAGAAATTAAACAGGCAATTTAAAAACAACGTATATTTACTGGCCACTTATTCATATTTTGTTTTACATTGCAACCTTACAAATCATGGTTATTTAATTGTAAACTTTTTATATCTACTAAGCTACGTAATTTAATAGGGGGACATCGGATTTATAACCCTAGGAACGTTCTTTCGATCAGCATTTTGAACCCATTTGAGATTAGTGGCTGGTCACCTTTTTTGGATAAAGTTTAACTGATTTGTTTTCAAAAAAGCCGGTTAGGTAGACCGACGCCGTCATACAACCAACAATGTGTTTAAATGAAAACAACCCAGAAAAACATTAAACTGCAACAAAAGACCAGTTTAGTGCTTATAATACAAACTGAAACGATACAAAGCTTAATAATAAGGTTTAAACTTCGTTAACATTCGTATGATCTAATTGTAAGGAGTAACACACTAGCCTAGCTTTGAACCGTATATCAGTATTATTGGGACATTCAATAGAATAAACAAATGTCAGTTTGATCCATGAATCGAATTTGATCATCTCATACCTTTTGTGTACCTCCATAATAAGTGAACATTTGTTATTTCAAGCTATTCCATCAATAATATCTCCTTATACTCAGCATATTTCTTTTTCTAGTTCAATTACTGCGTTGAATTTTTACAATAAATTAGATTTTATCTCGAGCTTACTGATTTGTTTCTTTAACAATGTTACTTTAAATTGTTTTAACCGCTGAAGCTGGTATCATCAGAGGATTTTGTTAAAATATCACTTTAAAAGTAATATCATTCACATTATAATTGAATTACAAAAGAACCAGGTCATATTCGCGAGTCTTTTTGTGGATTTACAGAAAATCTTATATTTTAAGAAAGAAAAACGGTGATTGATTATACACTTTTATTGGCCTGTTAATGTAATACGTTATGTCTAATGAAATAGAGAAAAACGGAATCACTAAAGAACGCCCAAAACGACAAATGTGAAGATAATGCAGGCTCGGTTTGATTGAGCTTCTTCATGGACGGTACTGGAATCACTGCTGTACTTTTTAATGCCTATCCAAACAACCTTTGTTTTTCAAACATGGTATTGTCCACATAGCCTACAGGTGAACAGGCCAAAACAATCTTGCCCATTCAAAATCGACACTATTTTTTCAAGTAATTAGTTCAAACATATTTTTAATAAAAATAAACAGTTTGTTTAACTTTCAAATATAACGGTATTTTGATACTTCTTCTAATGCCTACGTAAAAACCGGTTTTTTGGCATAGCTAAAAAATAGCATTCTCGAGAAATCCGAATTATAAAGAAGGCGAAACATATACGGTCGTCTTCAGATCTACATAAAAGAAATAAGTAGACCTGAACTTTAGTTAGATTGGCATCGGCTGAACTTGAGTTTAGAATTTTAAACATCCACATAAAATCATACATGATTCTTAAGGACATCGTGAAACCTTCAACAGTTACTGACACTCGTAATACTTGATGAATCGATCCACAAGAGCCCAAGTAAAAATAAAATTGTAATAAACCTAAAGGAAGTTTGGAGAGGGGAAAATATTGATAAAAATCGAAAAAAAGTCACAAACGCACAAAGTGACGGAGAAATCACAGTTTGCTATGCCTTCGTTTATTCGTTTTTTTTTATGAAAAAAAATGAAGTAATAATACAACAAGGCGTTAATCGGCCAATATATATTATTATTCATATAATTAAATTTATTGAATTCACACAATTAAGCAGGTCACATTACGGAATTGTAATCAGTTTTATCATAAACATCAAATTATATCAATTTATTTCACTGACATTATTCATTTCGTAATGTATCAACAAGCTATTTGATTCGAGAAGTCAATCAAGACTCCGTGTACGTCTGGTGATCATGTTTGAAAAAGATTCTGATGCAATCGTAAAACAAAATTAAAAGAATAATGCCTTTAGGAATGTTATCATTATAGTAATGCTGTTGTAAAATAAATGGAAAGAGGAAAGCTTAAGTACTTTTTTATTTTTTGAATATCAATAATGTTTGATCATTTGGCTGCATTTGCCTTTGATCTGCGTACCATATGTATTGAAACATTCAACAGCTAATAATAAACATCAGACAAAATCAATCATTTGTTTTAACAGTCAGCTATTCTCTCTACACAAACTCTTTTATTGTAGGTTGTGCATGTTCTCATGAATTTCACACCTCATAAAACGCGAAGAAACAATAGAAACAAAAATACTAATCAAGGAACCTTTCAATAATGTTATCGTCTAACCTGAAAACATTATCTATATGAATACTCGGTCTGTATATTAGAACAATTTCGTTGCGTTCGGGGAAACAAGAAACAAGCCCATTTTCTAAATATGTTTTAGTATTTTTATTTTAAATTGTAATCAAATAATTATTTAGTTTATCATGTTGCTAATGAATTCTTAATTTGTCGAGATATGGGACAAGCTTTCAGCAAGATACATACCAGCCGCATCATGACAAAACCAACATAATGGGTTTGCGACCAGCATGGATCCAGACCAGCCTGCGCATCCGTGCAGTCTGATCAGGATCCATGCTGTTCGCTTACAAACCCTATTACAAGTAGAGAAACTGATAGCGAACAGCATGGATCCTGATCAGACTGCGCGGATGCACAGGATGTGATAGTCAACTCATATTCCAATGCATTATCCTGAAAAATACGCTGTTACATGTGCGATTCTTTTCGAGAGAAAAACACCTGCTTGTTATTAAGTTACCAAGGCTTGCTCGTCAGGTAACAGACCATCGAGGAAATTTGAAAATCTTTTCCCAAATATATCGCACAACTGAATGGCGCTCTTTATAATACATAATTTATATGATCTAAATGATAACACAACACTCTTAAAATGATAATTTGAATTTTTAATATACCTTGATTTTCTTATACATTTATAAATATGAAAATGGTAACCTATTGTTTTTCTATGTTAACTTATAACAAATATTGGTTCTTGCAAAAAGTAAATAAATATATTTACAATCTTTACACTCCACAATACAAGCTAGCAAATATGTTTGTTACTATAACCCGATGTGCCATTAAGTATGAAAAATATGAAAATCACTCCTGCTAACATACATTATCATATACTAGTATTCTTTATAAATGCTTTTAAAATATAACCCAAACACGCCATGCCTAATGTGAAACAGTGATATTTCTATAAAAAAAAACGAAAATAATCTGACAAAAAGAAACTGTTAAAACCAGCACTTGTTTGTATTCGGGTATTTCAGATATTAAACTTTGATTTGCCACACATACATTATACATGTATCATTTACTTACACAGAAATTCACTAATCTAAAATTAGAACCACATGTACATTATTTATAAATGAAATACTAATGACATATAAAAAATCTGAATTGATCAACCGTGCCGTGAATTAAATAGAGACAAAAATGTCAAACTTTAGTAAAACAACAATTGACGTTCATCAATGGTGTTTATTTACTTAATAATACATGACTTAAGAGAACAACAACAAACATAAATAAATATTACAAACTTAAACATAGCAATGCGTCCTGTATGCGCATAGGTTCAACATCCGTTTCAAAAAAACGCTTATTATTTTATATTAAATAATTTACAATGATATTAATATTTTCATCATCTACAAGCAATATTCAATTTATCAAAACACCCGTGCGTACTTTACTACTGACACGACTCACAACACAAAATCATTACATATGCTTGAATTTACAATTGCTTATCTAAAACAGCAATGGATATTTGATTATGTTGCCTTTGTCCCAGGCCATTAAAACACTGTCCCTTTTATCTGACGTGTTAGTATAAAATGTAAACATATTGCTTTCTCCAAACGGTAATTTTATTTTTATATTCACATCCTTTGACTCGTCTGTAAAGAAGTCATAAGTGTAGTCTATCTCTGTTTCCGTCTTGCCGGGCTCTAAATCTCTTATCAAATACAGAATCCCACACGCAATAAAGCTATTTCTATAGACACCGATCTTTTTCGGAAGTGTCCAAACTCTTATGAATTCCATATTGGATGGATCGACTTTCACGACATGAATATATGATTCATTCCCTCTACGTCGTCCATATACGATCCATAGCCCGTTTTCATCAGCCGTTATGTCGTAATAGATTTTGCTGTTTTTGTATAGATAATTAGTGTCATTATAATGACTCTTTGGAATATGAGGTGTAGCGCTTACAACATCATTGATAGTTAAATCATATCGAAGCACAACTTGCTCCCCACCGTATTGGTAATAAAATTGATTGTTATATATAGCATGCTGTGTTCCATAGAAACGATTGTGTTTAATGTTGTACTTAGTATCAACAATTCGTTTCTTAAGCCTCAGCATTGAGTTGTACTGCTCAAGAGAATTTCCATAGTATCCCCTTGTGACCCAGAATTTTCCTGGGTTTAACTGATCGTTTAGAATTGAGCCGTATAAAGAACGTTCACGCATGATGAAAATCGGGGTTGCAATTCTTTTTATTCTACATACTGAAAATGTAATAGTAATAATGATATCATTTGCAATGACATTACTATGTTAAACATGTTATATGTTATATCAAGAATAGAACATGTATTGCCTTAAAGATTTCAATTCAACAGTTCGCCTTCACTTTGTTTTTACAGCCGTATTTTGGAGTTGAGAGAAAGATTTATTACTAATTATTCTAATTCAGAAAAGTACAAAGTCATTATATAATTTTATATTTGTTTCTTTTCTTGAAATCTATTTATCAAAATTTGTAAACATATAATGTATGTGATTATATAAATTATTAAATATTAATCTAGTATTTATTGTTTTTGTTGTTATTAAACACTATTTAGAGTACACCTTCAAATGGTTTCTTACTTTACAATGTTGGTTATCATTAGAAGTACTCTATGTTAGTGAAGAACATGCACAAACGGTAGAAAGATTAGAAGCACAGCGAAAACAGAAGAAGACATTCTTGAAGATGTAGCAGTGTCTGAGCGCGTGGCTTCAATTGGTAGCTTATGCGACCCGCCTGAAAAGTTATTTTGTTAGTGTTCAATGGAATGTTATGTGTTATATCCATTGATATACATGCTTTCTCATTTGTTCATATCTAGATAAGATACACGAGTACCCGAGTAGTAGTAACAAAGACAACGGTTGAACGCACACATCTAAAGTATGTGTTTCACGTAAACTATAACAGACATATTCTATATGTTTACAGACCAAATCTATTTAAACAATGGGTACACAACTTATAACACTACCTAATATACTGAGACATGCCAATATGGTAGGAAGTATTAATCAAATATAAATTAAAATCGACATTTTAATCAAACTGCCTAAAGAGGAAAGAAGATTGCCAAGCGTATTGTTAAGGTATTCATTCAATACATGCAATGCTTCTAAGCCATTTTCTCATCTATACCTGTAGATCTAGGTTCTATACTTGGCGGTATAGTAGGTGTAGTCGATGGAGTTGTAGGTGTAGTTTTTGTTGTCGGTATTGTCGAAGTTTCTGAGTCATATATTTTAATATATAATAAACGTTTAACTGTATCACATTAATGCAATTATTATAGTGCAATATTTCTTTTTTCATTTTGAAACATAATATGTGTATTTAATTTTATGAAACAGGGCCTTATATGTAAAGACAAAATTGAAACTGAGTTTCTTAGCTTTATATAATAAACAAAACGTAAAACCGCTAAAATCAAATGAAATAATTATTATCCTTTTTCTCTTTTACCTGATTTAACAGTGTAACTGTCCAGAGCTGATTCTGTTGACTTTCTTCTCACGTATTTGTCACCACAATGAGACGCTAGGTTGTAAACAAACAAAAATATGATTGTATTATACTGTCATAAATTTCTATCAACAACAATAAAAAAACAACAACGCAAACATAATAAAATGCTTATAAGTTTGTTGTAAAACCAGTTATTATACAGTCATGTATATACCCAATAACTGTACAAAGTATATGTTCAACTAAAATAATATTGTTTGAATATGTTAGTTAAGAAGTGTATTTATTAATAAAGCAATTACCAGCTTACAATTTTATTTTATAAGTACGTTTACGAAGTAAACCAGAGTTTTGAATCAAACATAACACTCATTCGTGTTTACCTATACAATAGCCCGGATCGCCTTTTTCTCCCTTAGGTCCTTGTGGACCCGTTGGTCCTGAAAACCCTTGCATTCCATAGCCTAAATAATAGAAACATACAGTCACTCAAACGAGTCCCTCAAACGTAAGAACTTTTAACTTGTTAATAAACATTCAACGTTTAATATACATGCAAATACGTGTATATATTCACTGTTAAGAAACAAAGAATAGCTGAATAAATATTTGACACATTGTTTAGCTTTTTATTTTCCAGGTTGTATCACAATGTACATTTTACAAATATGGACATCAAGCTAAATGTTTAGTTTTTTTAAAATATTTTATGACAATCAATAACGAAATCAAAGTTGTACATACCTTTGTCTCCTTTTTGACCAGTTTCTCCTTTTTTGAAAGCATGCATTAAATAAAGATAATGACAGGTTCGTACACGTGATAAAGACATGTGCGCATGTAAATAAGTTATAACTACTGGGTAACCAAACTTTTGCAATAACTTTTATTAGAGAATAAAAGGTGGATTACTGTTATTTGATTATTTACGAGTATCTCATTCAATGGTAGGTGGGGTTCTAGTTTGTATATGATTCAGATAGTTACATAAATTGTGAAAATATTTAAGTAGCAAGCAATGTTTTACTTTAATTACTTTAAAACATTTAAGAAAAATCATAATTAATTATTAATATATATTATACATATGGGGAAAAGGTATTAATAACGTAAACTTTAACGGTTGTTTGCATTACTTTTTAACAATAACTAGAACATACACAACATCAACAAAAAGGCCTGATATTATTATTTGTTTAACAGTAGCAGTATCCTTTTTGATTGAGAGAATTGATTATGAAACATACAAGTTTCTATCTGATTTTTTAAGCTATCATCTTGAGAAATATTTGATTGATTGGTTATTTAACTGTATTGAAACTTATTACGTCCTAATCGAACAATACAATAACTGCACATGCACAGCTACAACTTTCAATCAGGGCAAAAGGTATGGTGTTTTTATCTATTTATTCATTTTTTAAGACTAATGTACGAAATCTGTATTTTTACAAATATTTGCTTATCTGTTAGTTATCCTCAATTTAGCTTGTAATACATATCGAGAGGAAATTAAATCCAAGTTATTGGACAGCATATATCAAAAAATATGGTTTAATCAGATATATCTGTTTGTTGTCTTCCATAGTCTTTCTTACCTTTATCGCCTTTCCATCCCGTGAAACCTACCAGACCCCTCTGACCCTTTTCTCCTTTTATGCCAGTGCCTACATACGCGGCATGCAAAACAGGAAAATAATGACGTTAACATGCAATTTCTGGAGCATGCACAATAACGTTTGATTGGTGCAATTTGCTCGTTCACATGTGAAGTTTTAAAGAAGCATTCAAGTATTCAAAATATATACAAATTTAAATTCCTCTGGATATGCACTGATTTATAAGAAAGTTACGATAACAGCCTACGAGAACAAATTGCACCAATACGTAGGGATGTGCTCTTCAATACAATACCGAATGCCTTTTGAATAGGTGTGTACCTTTATTTCCCTTAAAGCCATAAAACCCAATGTGACCCCTCTCTCCTTTTTGTCCTTTAGAATTAATGCCTGTACATTTAAGCATACAAAGTCGTAAAATTTTTGGTTTATCCTAAATAAAAAAAAGATTCAATTCTCGATTGATATTCAACAAAGAGTTTGATACATTTCTGTTACATTATGAACCAAAATTATCGAGCATATGTGTATCGTAGGGCTTAAAGTGGGATTATACAAATTTGTCGGTATAATATATCGTATAGTTATATGTCTACATCAAAGTTGATAGAAATTGCATATGACAAACTTTATAGAGTATTATGTTAACGTTTCTTCCCCTTTTTAAAATAAACATTAAACATCGGAACTAATTTTTTCTCTGTAAATTATAAATATCAATATGATTTTCTGATATCCAATTACAAGGTAAAAAAACTGATGTTAATACAAATATTTCCACTGACCTAGTCTTTTGCTTATATTGGAAAGAAAACAGGTTAACATTTATAAGCATTTCAGTATATTAGCAAGGTACATACTAACGGTAAACTATTATGTTGAAATTAGTTATATTATTATTTGAAAGACAATGTCACAGTGTTAGTTTTCTGATAATTATAGGTAGTGAATTACAATGTGAAACAAACTTACACGAGCAATTATTTCCATTCATCTTAAATGTTCCACCCGGATCTCCTGGCTCACCCTTTGATCCCTGAAAATAAACGTTAAAAGAATATTGAATTTCAATCAAAGGAGTTTGTCAGGAAAGGGTATGGAATTATTATATAAAACGATGCCGTGCATGAAATGTACGAGAATGCAAAATATTTCACGCCTACTAAGAACCGGTTTAAGCAGTATTTAATTTTTAGTAATGAAGATGAAGGCATCGGATAAAAGAATAAATTAATGTTTTTTAAAGTTGCTGCGAAATTTCATCAAGTTTAGGGGTTTACAATAGAAATTTCATCCATAAAAAATGCCAGGTTTAAAATCATCTTTTAGTCGGTATATTTTTTACACACACCTTTATACCCGGTATGCCCGGTATACCATCCTCACCTGGCCGTCCAGCCCGACCAGGCAATCCACGTTTGCCACGGCGTCCACTTGATCCCTGAATGCCATTAACGCCCGGAAAACCTAAATGATTAACAACAACTTAACGATATAAGCTATATCTTTTAATCCGACCAATACGTAAGAAAGTACTCGTTTAAAAAATGTTGCCTTTACAGGTTTTGATATTAAACAACAAAATATGAGGAAAAAGAGTGAAAAAATCAACTATCAATTGTTTTAAAATGAACATGATACTATTTTAATAGTTCGGTTTCCTGCCTAGTCATTATATTTTATTTTTTATATTTTTAACGTGATTGGGTTTAAAATGTATTTAGTTTAAACATATTTATTTTAATATTTTGCATAATATTACATTTTGTATGTATATAATTGTTACATAAAATTGAAAGGGATTAGAACGAAGGAAAACTTATAAAATTCCTCTCCCAAGATAACATATGATATTTACACAAACATACATGGCAAGATATGTTATTTATTATAAAGTTAGAATATTGCAAGATTTATCATAAAATACATTTCCAATATTGTGATAAATATACATGTATATTGTAAAACCTTTGACCGAGTGTACTCTAATAGATATACTTTATCAAAGAAATACTCGTTTTGATAAATCATCCTAAAAAGAGTTTTTCAACTGAAATGAAAAAAGTCCAGTAGTTTAATCATTTACAGAAACAAAACAATTGTATAGTTTTACTTAAAATACATTTTCAATAAAATAAACGTTTTTAGAATAATACAGTGTGCCCCATAATCAGGTTTCTTTAAGTAAGATACACTGAAATATTAGTATAACTATTTATAAAAAATATCGAATCACGAAAAAAGGTTACCACCCACTACATCGCGTGTTCATCGAAGTACTAAAACCAAACTTACTACGCTTGAACCCACCTGGTGGGCCTTTTGGCCCATCAGCACCTGGTTCCCCGACTCTTCCCGTTTCTCCGTTATCGCCCTTCTGTCCTTTTTGCCCTGATAAATATCAAATTTAATTTGTGTATTTATTTCACGGAGAATAAAGTCAAGCTTCTATACAGTCAAGTAAAATGTTTGATAATTAGTAAATACCTGACATATTCATAATTGTATGTTACAACAATTTTGATTGCTAAAATTAGTTTTGTTTACAGAATTATCATAAGATTTGCGTTTTGTGAGATATACAAATGAAGAGCTAATGAATGTTATACAAGGTTCAATTTGTGAACAAATGCTATGTCACCGCATTAATACAGCGCTATAGTAGGAATAGAAGTAGATATTCTTGTTTCTTTACAATTGAACTTCATCCTTATGCTGGAATGTCTAGTGAATATTTCAGCGTTTCAAATGAAAGACAATAAGCAGATGTGTGTAATGTTCAAATACAAAGGCCATAGTATAAAAAATGACTCAATGTTTGTTATTTACTTATTACATAGATGTAGCTGTATTGAACTTTGAAATACTGTTATTTTTCTTAAATACTGTTATTTTTCAATTGAACATTACCTATTTCTGAAAACATAATCAGTAAATGGTTGTCACCGGTTGCTTTGGGAAGTCACTGGTTGCTATGGAAATATATGGATGCTTTGGAAATTATCTGGTTACTATAGAAGTCAATGGTTGCTATGGAAAGTCAATAGTTGCTATGGAAGTCACTGGTTCCTATAAGTAAGTGGTTGCAATTGTTGCTATGAGTCGGTTGTTGCAATACTGGTTCCTTTGCTATCTAATGTAAATGGTTGGGATAAAAAGGCACTGGTTGTTATTGAAAACTACTTATTGCAAAAGAGGTCTTTAGTTGCCATGTAATGTCAATGGAAGCTATGTAAGTCACTGGTTACTATGAGAAGTCAGTGGTTGCTATGGAAGTCAATTGTCGCTATTGAAAGTCACTAGCTGCTATAGATGACATTGTATGCTATGATAAGTCACTGGTTGCTATGGAAATGTATGTTACTGTGGAAAGTTGATGGTTACTATGTGAGTCAATGGTAACCTTGGAAAGTAACTGAATGCTTTATAAGTCATGTTTAAGCAAAATCTGTGTCCCTCCGGGGTAGGACAAATTTGACTTCTGGGCCGTAATTTGTATAATTTTGTTCAGGTCCTCAAAACCCTGTTTTATGTTAAATATCTTAAGATATAGCACTGTAAGTTCAAAAAAGAGATTGTTTATGTTTTTACTGAATTAGAAAAAGCCATGATCCTCCTGGAGCGGGGCCAGTTGTTGTAACCCAAGGGTTATAATTGAATTAAACTAAGGAGAAGCCTACTAGATAATATTTAAGGTACAAAAACTAAGCTGTAGCTCCTATAGTTTTAGATAAGACATTTTTTAGTTTTTGCTATATAAATATAAGGAAAATCTATGTTCTCCCGGACCGGGGCCAACTTTGACCTAAGGACTATAATCTGAACATTTCTTGCAGTTACCCAAGAAAATGTTCCATACCAAAATACTTAAGCTAAAGCTGCTATTACATAATACAAATTTTTGTGTTTTTACTATATAAGAAAATCAATTAACCCCTGGGGCAGGACTAATTTTAACCCCAAAGCTATAATTCGAATAATGTTAATAGAGGTTCACTAGCATTTTTCATGCTAAATATCTGAGCCCTAGCCCTTATAGTGTTGAAGCATCTTTACCTAAATCTTGACAACATATATATTCGAAAAACACAATACCCCCGGGACAGGGCTAATTTTGATCCCGGGGCTTTAATTTAAACACCTTTGGTAGAGGTATACCAGACAACCAGACAATGGCTTATGCAAGATATCGTTGCGTCTTAAGAAGTAATATTTTTATATTTTGTTCTCATAATTCCTTTTATTTGCACTGTCAACCAGATTTCTGCATGGAATCAAATTCTTTAAAAAGCTTTGAAAGCCCTTTAAGCAAGGAAAAATCATGGTTGAAATCGTACTTGTTGTGTTTTACAAGAAGATGTTTTTAGTTCACTATATACAAGTAATCTACATAACACACAAACATACACAGGTGAATCGCTAGATGCCACCACACCGCATTATAATACAGTACTTAAATTGTTATACCATTGATCCCTGGTGGCCCCATATGACCCATAACACCAGGCCTTCCTTGTTCTCCTCTATCCCCAGGCGGTCCCGGGGGCCCAGGGGGACCAACAGCCGGAGCACCTTTACAAAAAAGAAAATGTATCAGGGTTTAAAGATATTAAATATATATATCTTTAGCTGTATGTTAACGAAAACTACAATAACATTATTTCTAAATCTATTTACAAATAGAAACATATGAAAATTTCTCCACCTTGTAAAGTTTTACCATGGTGACATTTTTTACAGTTTTTATAGAAAATATTGATGTCATATCTATGTTAAACATATTATATTATTATATTATTTGATAATGCAAATATTTTCTTCCACCCTTCCAATATAACGGAATTACCTCAAACAAGATATGTTAATTGATAGAACATAAATACCTCATAATTTAAAATGTCTGACAATATAATGGACTCGTTTGTCTAACCGACAAAACAATGACTCCTATAATAAATCTATTTATTTTGATAAATTCACGCAGTAGTTCCGACTTTTTTCTTCGAAAATTCGATCAAGTTGCATTATGTGGTTTAAGCAATACTGCATGATGACAAATGATTAAAACAAAATTTAAAAGTGCTGAAATATAAAAAGACTGCCACACTACTTCTATCAAGTGAACGTTACTAATAACTTTTGAATGATATTTATAGAATTTCTCTCTGTCAAGTTACTGGTAATTTATGAGTACCGATATAATAAATTGTATGCAGTTACTCGTATTTCAAAATTTTAAGTTATTTTGTCGTTTTTTTTTCCAGTAAACTCAACATTTTCACAAGAATGTGCGTCATAATATAACTTTTATTAATCAAAGCAGATAAGGCGCTGAATTTGTTTGGGTCTCAGAATGTCAGAAAGGTGAAGGTTGTGAGATTATAAACCAATTTGTTTGTAAAGTGTCACCAAATTCTGTTTCCTGTGTTATAACTATAGTAAATTAGCTATAAGACTAATTGCAACACTGATATTCAATTCAATGTTTGTTTGGCTTAATCAGTTAAAAAACAAAAAAACAAAAAAAACAACAAGAGTTGCCTGAACTGGGATTTCAACTCCGGACCTCTCGCTTCTAAAGCGAGCGTGTAAAACCCTCGACCACGGGGAGTTATTAGATAACAGCCTGAAGAATACCATATTATTCTTAATTAGAGTTTGTAACCCTTATTAATTTCAATATATTTTGTTTATGGTAAACCCGTTGTTAAACAATGAAGCTGAATATAAGCATGTATATCTATAAGAATTACACAATATTAGAAATCTTCGACCAATCGGGAACTATTTTTTGTTACGAAAATTAATGCGCCTGTCATTTGACAATCTTTTACGCAGTGATCTCCCCTTAATGTTTCGGTGTTAATGTACATATGAAGGGAAGTAACCGTTTCGAAGAGTTTGGACTACTTTCGGCATTTGCAAATAAGAACATCAAGGTCTGAAATTTCGCTACCATTATTTGTTTGGTCTGACGACCCAAACAAATAAAATCGTATCACGAACTTATCTCAAGGTAAGATATTTGAAGGCAAAGGGAAACAAAACAGATAACTAGAATGATTGAAAATAAAAAAAAAAAACATCACATCCTAATCAACAAACTTTAAGACAACTATAAATAAAAATATATATCCTGATTTAAAATTCATGTTTGTATCATTACGTATAATCTTGGAAGAAGAATACCGTCTTCTTCAAATAGACCTTAAAAGTAATACAGAAAAAGAAATTTGCGAAAAACGATGTCATATGTAAAAATGTACAATTAGTTTTCTTCGCATAATTTAAACCTCTCTAAGCTACTCTACTCAGATGTAACCATTACCCAGTTGTAGCTATTAAGTCAAAAATATGTTTCCATAAACAAAGTAGCACTTGTAAAACATATGGTTTTCCTTAAACAAAACAAAACTATCTTTGTGAAGATTTCAAACACAAATTCGATTAAATTAGAATTGAAATGTTGTTTTTAAAAATATTTTTGTTTGAGTTTGAAAAACAAACCGTTTAAAACCATTACCGCACTTAGCACGAAAGTTACCTGTGTTTCGTAATAAGTACAGTAATTTGTAAAAAAGCATACAAGTCTAATCCGAAAATGAAGGATTTAAAAAGCATAAGTCATATAGAAGGGCCAATACGTATTCACATCAATATTTGTCTCTTTAACTCGAACCAGGATGATATATGTAATAATAGGTAATTTTTACAAACATTATTGGACATTGCATTCTTTTAAAAATTTAAACATCATATTAAAAAAACAAGAGCAAGGCAAAAGGTTTTTTAATTCGTAATCTACTTACCAGGTATTGCTGAACCGCATTTCTGAGATAACAATGTCACACAGTACTCTGTTAAATCCTGGAAAAGTGTCAAAACCATATTACTACTAACAAATACAAATAAGTACGTAAGAAAAAATTGTCGATAAATGTTTCAGGTCACCGGGGCCACGTGTTAGATATGTGCTTTAGACTTTTAAGGAAACCACATTTCAGTTTAGTTTTATTTTAAAACATATTCAGATGTACACATATTTTTATAGTTGTCAGGTTTATAAAAAAATGTGTAAATTAGTAACTTTCGATTGAATTTGATAAAATGTAAGGAATTTTTATATGTTACGACAAACCCTGAATGTTTCGCATTGCATAAGTTTGTTTATTAAATTTAAACTGAATCTAGAACAAAGTTGAATGCCCTTTCTCGATTATTATTGTTTTTTCATATTTTCTTAACAACACATAATGTTGTTGTATGATTTAAAGAAGAAATTTCTTCTCGTTTTACTTTTTAAAATTTACCACCACCGAAAATTTAACAAAGCAGCACGTGATCAGATTTTCAGGATTCTTGAACGTTCCTATTTCATAACGTGCGCGAAGAATGTAATTGTATAGTACAAGGCGTAAGACGATGTGACACTACATTGCATTCTTGGAAATTCACATTTCACTTCGGTTATGAACTTAAGTAGTTGAATTTTTGTTTTGTTTTTGTTTTCATTGTCTTTAATTATGTTGTGGGAAAAGGCGGTTTTATATTTCGTCCTTTGCATTTCTGTTGTAGGAAATGATAGTCTGTTCATAAGGCTCGTTCTAGTTTATAAATTTTTCACCCTTGTCTTCATATTATGTCAATTCCCACATTCAGAAAAATAACACATATATTATTCATAAATGTATAAACATTATGTAATTGCTATGGTATCTTTAGTTTAAATCTAATTTACATAATATTATAATGTAAATGGTTGATTGGTCTAGTACTTTAATTATCCTTATTATATGTTGCATGCTTTTTAACTTTATACTTTAACGGCTTTTAGTAAAACCTTTCAAAACTTATATTTATTACTTTTGAAAATAACATCGTTTTTGTCTTTTGCGTTATTAAAACCTTCTTCATATCACATTGCTTTCATCAGACTTTCTAAGATAATTCAATTGTTTTCCTATATATTTCCTTATTGCCTTTTTAGTGTGTACATCTGTGTAACAACAAATAATGACCACACCAGACACATTATAACATGAGATCAAATGTATCATCTATAATAAAAGGTCCTTTAATGTGCTTTTAATATCTGTTGTGACAAATTTTAAGCTCACAATTATGTAACTTCGTCATATTTGTCAATGCATATTGCTTTAACTGCATTAAGGAAATATCCCCAGACTATGATCTAGAGGTATAACTTTACAAAATACAAAACTATAAACGAAAAATATCCAAAATATATTCCGCGCCAAGTTATAACGAAATCTCTTGGTGTTATGTACGGAGCTATATAGCCAGCATTCGGAAGGGCGGTTGTTCTACTCAGGTGCAAGCTCGTACATTAAAAGTGTATATAGAGGTACCAGAAGTCTTAACAATATCACTTATAAAGATTAGGAAACAATAAAGGTCCTAATATAGGTCCCTGCGGGACTTTAAAGTGGTTAGATCTGGTTTATATTCCAAGCATAATTATCATCGCATTGGTTTCTGGGGGGTAACTTGTAAAAAAAGGTCTTCTTATTCTTGCATGCCAAAGTTAAGAAGGCAAAATCCTGTGTGCCCCACCTTATTTAAGATATACTATGCTCAACCTTGATTAAAATGTTTTTATCACATAAATTTATTGAAATCTTCATAATTCTAACTGAATATTTCAAATTTGAATAAAAGAATGAATAAACTATGAATGGAAAACTGCGTTCCCTATTAAAGATCAAGTAAAATTGGTATTTTCTTATAAAAAACTGCCAGTTTTTAATGACACTATATATTCATATTGTGACCACCTAAAGTGTGTAGAATTTTAAACATGACATATCTACTTTGTGTGATGTCAAAACATGTTTATTTTACATTTACAAGGAAACTGTGAATCAATTAACAATATTCTTTAATATCAAATTTCAGCATTGTATATCTTTAAAACCTTTACTACATATATGTACATATATGTACAAAAAAACAACTCTTTTTTGACATTTATCTAAAGCTTGAATAACAAGACAAATTGTTTTACAATGTAATCCCTTGAATGAAACCATATTGAAAAGATGATAAAAATTTAAACGATGAAAAAAAGTACACTCATTTAAACAAAATTCGTTCATCTGTTGTTTATAAGACCTAATTTGTGTTATATTTACGTTCGTATCTTAACGAGAACGGACAAAACAAAGGAATTCACAAGGAAAGTATCACAAAGTTAGCGTTTTGTTAAGGCTGAAAGGCAATGAAAAGCCGCAAAAAATTATTATGATAATGTCAATGTATAACCTGATGAGCATATTAACGTCGTAAAAGAATTTCGCTGAATTAAAGATAGAAAGGAACTAATTTCAACTCCGAAGTCCCTGGCTCGGTGTATACAATAAGGCGATTATAGTGTACTTAACAATTTCTCTCTGAAATGCGAGCGATCTAAATAATTTAGGTTTAATTGTTCTAATTTGAATTATTCTTGCCGAAATTATCCCAAGTTACAATCTTGTTTGTGTTAATTAATGTATTATAATTGAATAATTCGAAACGACGGCACCTCTTCTCTGATAAAATAATCATATTAACACAGAAACAGACGACATACAAAAACCGGATAATGGAAAAGTTAAAACGGTTTCAAGTTGTTTATGATCCCCATGTGTAAATTGCACAGATTGACTTTTTCAATCTAAAGACATAAAACAGGCAATTTAGAAGACAAATGAGAATAAAGTAACCATTTATTCTTTTATTCAACTTTATTTACATTGTGTCTTTACAAATCTTGTCCATATAAATGTGTAAATACTTTGAAATTTATTAAGCTGCTTATCTCGGATTTGTTATCTTGCGTCGCTGGTTGATGAAATGTCTCCTTGACACTTAATCTCGGAAATTCAATGTCATGGTCATTTATCTTTTATAGCTTTTCAGAAAATATGTGGGTTTTGTATTTTTCTGGTCCTTCGGGATCATTAATTACTTCCGGACGTTTTGATTGTTGAGAATTGAGTACCGCTCCAGTCGGTGCTAGGGGGCGTGAGGGATGTTGCATATATCATGTACAGATTCACTTAAATCAAGTCTGCAATTGTCATGTGATTTTGCAATTTTCAATGCTTCCGAGGGATCACTTAATTTATTTGTACACGGTCACCTTTAGATAAATTAAAATAAAGACTTCGGTTTGTGTATACCAACCGCCATGATATGACCGAAAACGTGTTAGAATCGAACAAACCAAACACTTCGAATAAGGACAATAAAATGACGATTTTAATTCATATTTCTTTCGACCAATAAATAAAGATAAGACTGAAACTTGAAGATTTAAATAGCGGTTTTTTTTAGCTAACCTTAGTGTGAAAGTAACACTCAAGCTTTACCAGCTTTGAATTATATATCAGTAACAAGGAATCACGCATTTGAATTAAAATGTCAATATCCGAAATATAAAAACGGAATTTTGTCTATGGCATACATTTTGTGTACTTCTCAAATTATTTATGGAACTTTTGTTGCGACAATTAATTTCAATCACTAATATCTATTTATTTTGGCTTCTTTCTTTTCTGGTTCAATTATTTCTCGCCGTCTGTTTCAATAACGGCGTTGAGTCTCTTTCAACAAATTAGGTTTTATCTCGCGCTCAATGGCTTGTTTTAAATTAAATTGTTTTAACCGCAGTAGCGTAATTTATCAAAGGGAATTGATAAAACATAATCGAAAAAGTGGGAACAATCATGTTAAAATTTGATAAAAGAAGACACAGGGTTTATACGTAATTAAAATCTTGGATAGATTTTGTAACAATTACATTTTTCCTAGTTACGCATCTCCTTCTATAAATTTGTGATATTAAGAGATCTAAAAATAACATATTTCCCACAAAGTAAGCTAATTAGCTTAAACTATATATTACTAATAACATTGACAACTGAGAGTGTTCTACCGTAAATATAAACGTGAATACACTAGGAATAGGTTATCAAGATTGAAATTTGTATAAGAACTATCGCAGATCGCAAATGTTGCGAACAAAAAATAAAAAAGACGATCATTTTTTTTATCTATATCTTTAATGTGAAACATAAGCGAAACTTTTTTTCTAAATGTGACCGGTGTCTCATTTTTAGTCAATTGATTGAGTGTCAAGCGACCCCTCTTAAAATCTCTGTGTTTTTTTTAGAACTGAGCTCCTCCTAGTGACAACTTTAATCACACAATGCATGTGTAAGCAAACTTTTAACATTTCGAAACCGGTAGATATGCAAGTTAAGTTAATGTGATTACTGTGTTAAACAATTTAATCAATAAAACGTAAGAAGGTCGCCTCCTATTTAAAAAAAATTGTTGCATTTTCTAAAATACAAGCTTTTATTCGGAAAAAAGTGTACATATCTCGTAAACAATAAAGTAAATTTGTTTAAATTTTCGATACATATCTCCTGTTAGGTGTATAACTGACCTATGTTGTCATATTAAGTTCCTTACCGTACATTTATTAGGGGCATATCTTAATATATTTCAATTCAATTAATACACTGTTTAGCAAGATGTTTTTGAAGGTGACATTGCGGGAGTTTACCTTTGCTACAGTTATCATATTGAATCTATCATAAATTGAATCTATCATAAATTGAATCTATTACAAATTGAATCTATCATAAATTGAATCTTTGATCATAAAATGGATCTATCATAAACTGTCAAAGTGTCGTAAATGTATTGTTGTTATTTTCTCCCTTAACATGGTCTTTGATTCGATTTATCAAGACAGGCGTCTGGTGATCAATTTCGAAAAAACAACAAATCATTTTCTTAAACAATTTGTATCAAAGTTGAAAGACAAAATGTCTTAAGCAATGTTAACATTAAAG